GGAAAAATGGCGAATGAAGTGGTTGAATATAGCATCTGAGCGACCGGAAAGCCTGGAAACTGAATATTTTCAAATGCAGGTGTGAGGAACCAAAAGTTAAATATTGCAGAAAGAATCTTGAAGCACATTTCAAGAATACCTAGCCAAAAATACACACAAACATATGTATATATATACGCATACATATTTAGATCTCCAAGTACGAGCATATGCATATGCACGTATGAATAAAGAGTAAATGGAAATAGAGTGCATACATAGATACGCTGGAAAATGAAGTGGAGAACGTGGATGCTTCCGAATGTGGAAAATAGGAAAGGCTGTAAGATATAACTTTATTAATGTATGCACGACACATACACATACATGTATACATATAGAAATATCTAAAATGAGTAGACTAAAATAGAGTTAAACATAGAAGTGCATGAAAACATATATATAAATATAGATTATTCTTCCAGCCCGGAGAAACTAAAATAAAATTATCATAGTAGTTATCTTAAAATAAATTAAAGTTAAAAAAACATGAATATACACAAATGCAATCAAATAGACACGCACGCACACATACAAAAATACGCACACATATGTATATATATATATATTTGCGTTTAAATGAGGAATGAATGGAAATAGAGAAATGCATGAATTGATAGGCGCGAACAAGGAACGAGAATATAGATGTTCTCCAAATGGTTAGTGAAAATTATGTCATTCAGCGGGCCTGGTACTGAAATTTGACACTGAAGCTTTTCTGTTAAAATAACCGGGCTGTCTGAAATTTGTTTAGACAAATGAAGGGAAATTTCACAGCATCTCAAAATTGTTGGCTCGTCACACCCCCAAGAATATAACTAAAAACTCGTTCGACTGAAGGCCCGGACAGGCTGCTTTTGAGGCTCGACACTCCAGTAGCCTATTTCGGCTAGCTCTTTGGTCTGGAGATTGGGATTTGTAGATTGGCCTGAGAAAAGTGCCTTCGAGTGGCCTGTTCACTTGGGCAGAGTTGAGCGTGAATTATTCTCACTCACAAGCCAAATCACAACTGCTCAAAGACCAGTGAGTTACGGATCTCTTACGAAATGAAGAGTTCAATAACATAGGCAAGCAATCCCTTAAATCCATCTCGTCTATGAAACATGAGGAAAGCTGTAAACTTACGTTTTGAGCTCAAATGTTGCCGGGAGGAGAGGAGGCATGAAATGGAGGTGAAAAAAATTTCGTCGATACCAAATACGTAACAGCAACACGTGCTGGTGAAGCCAAGGTGAAGTAACTTTCAAGACATTAATTTAAATCTAAGAATAAGGAAGTAGGGGAGAGGAGAGGAGAGGAGAGAAGAAGGGTTGAGGAGACCAGAATAGAAAGAGACAGGAGAGTAAAAGAAACGAGGGAAGGGCGGAAGGAAGTGATTGGGAACGAAAATACAAGTCCGGAAATATACCTGGAACTGTCCTTCTTCTTTCTTATCAAGAATGTAGGCGCAGCTGCCGGTCTTGAGGCGCCTTGATCGGCTTCAAACTTCGCCTCTTCTCGCAATATTCGTGCTCTTACAGGCCTAACACTCGACGTGGCACGTGGGTCTTGTGCGGGCGACGAGACGACAGTCTGCCTCGTGGGCACAAGTGCAGCCTGTGGCATCCACTTGAGGCTAGACGCCTCTTGTGCCAACTCATCGCTCGCATCAGCCTCGTTCTTAGCCCCTTTAGCTCTGCTTTCGCCTTCGGCCCTCCAACCCTGTTGGTAGATCTGTACTGATGATGTTAGGGTTGTTGCTGGTGCTGATGATTGCGGTCGTGGTCGTGGTCTCGCAACCTCTACGTTCCTCCAGCTATCCATCATTGGGCCAATCTGTTCACGGCCGGCCTGGTAGGCGGACATTTCACTTAACGGCAGTTGACCCTTTCGAGGAATGAAGTCGAACAACGGCTGGCCGATCGCGTTGTACTAGATACAAGCAGAAGAGAAGATAATATTGCTAAATGAGAACAGGAGCATAAACATAACAAGATCAAAAAAATCCCAGCAGGGTATGATCAATTCAGAAGAGTGAATAGATTAAGAGATGGAGACTAAGATAGGTTTGGTCGCAGTCCCCTCTAGCTCCATAGGGTTGCTTTGAACCCATTTTTGCAACTTAGTCGGAATGCCATAGAGACCCAGAAGAATATACCTCAATATGCTGTGATTTTAAGCTACTAAATGAACCAAAGCAACGGTCTGATGCTGGGAAATATCATGACTATTATGAAAGAGGATACAGGAGTGGTTTACATTCTTAAGCTCTCCTTATTAACACGAATGAAGTCAAACAAACTCGGAAGATTGTTGGGGATACTCTCATTTCGTCTGAAAATGAATGAAGAAGAGATTAGAAGGTGGATCTCACCAGAAGATGACGGCTGATTATCATTGTACTGCAGCCGTTTGGTTTTAACACAACGTTAAGGTTGACAAAGTCCACGAGATATCCTCCCTCGTTTCAGGTGAAAACTCGCTAAGTTTTCGTCCATCATATAATGGACATTACCAGAGCTGAAATTCATTCTTGTAAAAGTCTCACGTGAACACTAGGTCGAAAGACTATCTTGATCTATCTTGCCTAGTACATATAGTCTGAACTAAAAAAACAAAAATGAATAGGCATAAATAAATATAGAATGGTTTGGCCTATAATCTTTCATATAGGCCACACACACATACATACACACACACCCTCGAGCAAAGGTAGCATGACCAGTCTGAAAGCTAATTAGCCAAACCATTCTATATGTATGTATGACTATTAATTTTCTTTATATATACATATATATATATATATATGAGGTAGATTTAGCCGGATAATCTTCTTGGCCTAGTGTTAACGTGAGAATTTTCCAAGAATGAGCTCCCGCTGTCATGGCAACTTTGAACCTCTGGTCTCCTATGACTACAGCTAGCGCGTTCTATCTATAGATTTGAGCTAAGAAGAAATTCACATCCCTAATTCGTAAGCGAAACTTTTAAACCTTACTGACCATAAGAGGATGCCGGCAGGAAGTTCTAGTGAGGGTTTAATGAGAGATATGAAGGGTAAGTGGGCTTCGATAAATTTTCTGTGATACTATTGTTGGGGGGACTTTAATTTCGTACGAAAGTACATGATGAAGAGATTAGACGATCGATCTCATCAGAAAGCGACCACTGGTTCGCGTTGTATCACATCATTTTGGCTTTACTAAGAC